TTGCAATGCTATGGCCTGAGTGCTGGGATTACAGGAGTGCACCACAACTTGTGGCTTAGAAATTGCTTATTTTGGACTGCGGATGTAGCTCAGTGGAGCCGAGGTCCTGAGTTCGATCCCTGGTATGTGAGTGTGTGTGTGTGTGTGTGTGTGTGTGTGTGTTAAGAAATCGCTTATTTCTAATGGATACCGGCTAAATAACACCAGGAAGAGGTTGCAATTAGCATTCCTGACACTGGAAAATGAAAACCTACTACTTTAAAAAGTGTAAATGTACACAGCTAGATATCTTGAGGTCTGTTCTGGATCTTGGTCATTGAATCCCAATTCCAGAGCTCTGAGCACACATGTGCGGAGAAAGCATCATAAGTATGTTGAACTTGGTCCTCTCAGTGGCCAGGGCCTGGGGTGCTTAGAGCCCCTTCAGTCTATCAGAGGAGGGCAGTCACCCCTGCGCTCCCCAGCTCCCCTGGCTCTCACTGCAGCAGTTCTCACTTGCACAGATCAGTGGCATTAAGTACGGCTACTGTTACCCGCGGAATGCTTCGGCTTGCACAACTGGATGCAAACCCTGCCTGAGCATGGTGGCGCATGCCTGCCATCCCAGCCCTTTGGGAAGCTGATGGAAGAGCTCGAGTTTGAGTTGAGCCTGGCCAACACAGTGAGATTCTCCCTCAAGAAAAAGAAAAAAAGGCTGGCGATACAGCTCAGTGCGAAGGCCCTGGGTCCACTCCTGAGTACTGAAAAACAAAAACCAGAAAAGAACACAACCATCATTCCCCATTCCCTCGGGTCCCTGGCAACTCCCAATCTGCTCTATGAATATGACTGCTCTGTCTACAGCCTGTCTACTTTTACTTTCCCTTCGTCCTGGGGAAACTGTTAATGGCTGGTGAAATGTCTGAAGTCAGACGTAAGACAGCAGTAAGAAAGGAATACAGTCTACACACAGGAAATAACACGTTAGACGTAGTAATCCTGAGTATTGTGATAGGATCATAAGTTAGAAAATATTTTGTAAACATTGTGTTATTTTGGCCTTTGGAATTTCTAAACTTTCACCTGCACCTGTCCAAATCCTATACATTCTTAAAAGCCAAGTTTAAATACTTTCTTTCGGATTAGGTAGCATGGAGCCCAATATCATAGTATCTACAGTTTCTCTGATTTTTTTTTTTGTTTGTTTGTTTTTTGAGACAGGGTCTCACTGTGTGAGACTGACCTGGAACTCACTATGGAGCCCAGGCTGGTCTCGAACTGACATCAATCCTCTTGCCTCAGCCTTCAGAGTGCTGGGATTACAGGTGTGGGCCACCACACCCGGCTTCTTTGAATTTCATTAACAATTTATATTTCCCCTGGAGAAGGCCACCCAATTCCATTTTATATTCTTGTTATTTTTTACTACTCTTGATTGTAGAATAGCATCTAGAGAGCTGATTTTATCTTATGGTCAGATATTCTATAAATATCTATTAACAGGTTTTACACATAGTCAGAACACACTTGTTGAACTTAATTTTTCTTATTTAAATATTATTCTCTTTCAGATGACCACATGCAGCCTTCTAAAGCATGTCTAGAAAATCATGTGGTTCATACACCCATTTATGTATGAATTCCATAATTTACCCACCCAGCATGTGCAAGACAATGAGCCGACCGATGCAAGTCCAGACTTGAACTGCATCATAAACTCACTATAATTCAGACACCTCTTGCACTGTTTGCCTGTGCTGCGACGTCTTGGTCTATTCCTGTCTTACTGGGGCCTAAGGCTTTTTTTGGTCTCAATGCTAACAAGCTGCTTGAAGAAAAGACTAAGGGCAGGGTTGCTAGTACCTGTCTAAAAAGGGATTGAGAAAATAGAGACAGTGGTGTGAGTCCCAAGTTTGAATGGCATTTTGGAACAGGAAGGCAGCAGAAAATGAGCGTAAGATAGTACATGGATGCAGAAGGAAAAAGAGGATTAGAACAGCCCCAGGTTTTTCTAGGAAAGAGACAGGTAAGGCTAGCCAGTACTGGCGAACCTATGGCACATGAGTTTTCTTTTAAGACAAAAGATGTTAACATGAGTTTTTTTTCCTACACTAAAACCTCAGTATCCAGGTGAATTGCTGTGCTGGCACTTTGTGATAAGTAAGTGGGTTTTGGGTTGCAGTCTGGCACTCAGTCTCTAAAAGGTTCACCGTCACTGGGCTAGACAAAAAGGCTTGCACAGCCGAAAGCTATCTGGAGAGAGAAAGTAGGTGATTGGTGGGAATGAATTGTTTTTTTTTTTCTTTTTTTAAAGACAGGGTCTCACTGTGTAGCCAGGCTGGCTCTGAAATCATGTTCCTCCTGTCTCAGCCTTGCAAGTGCTGGGATTACAGGCATGCAATGCCACGCCTGGCTTCAACCTGGGTTTTTCTGGATGCAGGCCAATGGCTGAAGTGTTGCTTACTGCAGGAGGAGCACTGTGTATCTTCTCGGGCACTGCTGTAGATCTCACTCTCCCTACAGCTTAGTGTAACACTAACAGCCCCCACCGAGTGCAGTCTAAAGAGTTACGAAGATAACCAAACTGAGGAGACAACTGACTTTTCCCCTCAGCAATTTTACTGAGTATCTGCTTTGTTCATGAGTAGGGGGAGAAGACAGGAACACAACTCTGCCAGATGCCTGCGCTCCACACGCCTGTGCCACCACTGTGCCCGTGGGTGCTCAGTGGCCAGAGCCTCCCTGGAAAACGGTCTTTTGGAGCTGTCTTCATACCTGTAAGAGTAAGAGAACAGGCCTGCCTCCTGCTCCAGCCTGCTGCCCTGTTTAGTCCTGCCGGAATTTCCCTGATAAATACTCATGCACTCATCCCTGAACTGAGTGCCAGTCAATAACAGCAAATAACGGCAGCCAAAGGAGCTGCAAGTAAATTAGCGATGTTTTCATTTTAGTTATGAAGTGGTTGGGCCTCATTTCAAATATGTGCACCATAAATTCCTATTAATAGGTCCAGAAAAGCTGGGTCGGGAAGGAGGCCAAGGAAGATTGAGGACAATGTGGGCAACATAGGGAGACACTGTCTCAAAAAAGCCAAGTTGAGAGAAAATATGAGCAATTCTTAGGAAACATTAACAATATTCAAAAGAACAACAAAAACATGCCACATGAGGACACGGCTGGACTCGGACCTCTTTTGCAGAAACTTTCTTATTATACGATTAGGGAACAAAATAGAAAATGCAGATAAGCAAAAGGACTCATCCCTCACTGTCCCAAAGGGCCTCCTGGTGAGGCGCAGGCAACCTCCGGCTGCCCTGCAGTACCTCTGCAGTCCGGAGCAGGGAATCCAAGGCGGCGGGTTCCAAGTGGGCAGAAACACAGGCGGTCAGGGTCGGCGCTCAGAAGAGTGGGCCAGCGAGGCAGGTGGGACTTGGGGCAGGTGGTGAGTGACCTGCCAGCAGCCGGCAGGGCCCGCTGAGGACTGCGGCAAGTCTGTCTGTCCTTTTTCTGTGGCACCTGCGCTCAAAACCAGGTCTTTCCCACTGAACTACATTTGTAGCCCTATTGTTATTATCATTATTATTATTAATTTTTTTGGGGGGGAGTACCGGGGATTGAACTTGGGACTTTGTGCTTGTGAGGCAGGCAGCAGAACCGTTGAGCTAAATCCCCGGCTCCCTTTTATTATTTTGAGATAGGCTCTCACTAAGTAGCTGAATTGTGCAGGGTGCCTTACCTTTCTTTCCAGCAGGCTTAATCTTCTCTGCTGCCATGGATATCCTTCAGTGACTGCTCTTTGTTTATTTTATTATTATTATTATTATTATTATTCTTTGGTACCGGGGATTGAACTTGGGACCTTACGCTTTTGAGGCAGGCGGTGCCACCACTGAGCTAAATTCCCAGCACGACTGCTCTTTATTTAACTTAGGTTGCAACTTTCCAGTCATTTTTTTAAAAGGAGGTTAAATTATATAATCACTAAGACACCTCTTTCATCACACTGGTCTCTAGCAGTGTTATCTGCACATCTCATGAAGGGGCTTAGACCTCCGATTCTGGGAACTTACTGAATCAGAATATCTGAAAAAATCTTTTTGTTTTGAGTCTGTTCAGAGGGTAAAGATAACGTTTCTTTTGAGAAAGGAAAGCATGGTTGGGAAATCATGTAGAACTTCAGTAATATATTTAATAATGTTACTCCTGTTTTAATTCTGTTGCCTTATTTCCATTTTTATTACTTGTTAAAATACATAATTTTCAATATTTTCTCTACTTTTCATTTCAATTTTCTTTCCTTTTTTGATTAATTTCTGTATGCACACATTTCTTTTCTTTTTTTTTGAGACAGGGTCTTGCTATGCTCAGTCTGGCCTCAAACTCATGGCTCCTCCTGCCTCAGCCTCCCGGGTGCTGGGATTACAGGTTTGCACCACCACAGCCAGCTACACGCACATTTCTAACAGTGCATTTCAGTTTATGTTAACATGACTGGCTCTACACTTATGAGGAACTCAGAACAACATAATTATTTTACAAATAAGGGAGAGCAGGCACTATTTTTCACACCTTTAATTCTTTTTCCTTTCTTTCTCTCTTTCCTTCTCTTTTATTTTCATTTGGAGACAGGGCCTTCCTCATTAGCCCAGGCTACTTTCAAACTTATGATCCTCCTGCCTCATCCTCCCAAGTGTTGGGATTACAAGCCTGCACCACCATGCCGAAGTTACATCATCTCTTTTATCCGTATATAAATTAGAACACTGTACATGATGCACTTCTCATTTCCCTATGACTAGAGCCTACGGTTGGGATTTATGGAAATTTCTATGCAAATTTGTTAACTAGCATCATATAATTTAACTATCATCTAATATACATAATACAGACCTTTCAAGGCTCTTGTATAATATTACTAAAATTAGTTTGGAAAACCAGTAAGAGTGAGAGGAAAAGAATTAAGATCTAGTCAGTGAAAACTCAGAGTTACTCCATTGCTCAGAAGCTCTGGCTGTACTTACAAAGAGGGTTGGCTTGGGTATAAACAGGTCGTCCTCCTGCTTTCTAGGCACCAGAGTCTGGGACGGCTGATTCTCTGCCACATGTTTCGATTCCATTTTAGTAAGGAGTAAGTTGTTCTCAGAGTGTTTACTATGCATGTTAATGAGAATCTGCTTCATTGCTGCCAATTCCTGTTGATATATAAAAACAAGAAAGTGGCACGTATGATTTTGGTACAGACTAATAATGATTAATGTTAAAATATTTTTAAGTGAGAGAAACACTGAAGCAATTACACTGCATAAATGAGGAAAATGGTAAAATAACATTACTGTGGGGTGAGGGATTTAGCTCCGTGGCACTGCGCCTGCCTCACAAACTCAGGGTCTTGAGTTCGATCCCCGGGGGGGGGCAGTTATTACTGTGACCCTGATGACTGACACTTTGCATTTGGTACTCACACTTTCCTGCACTCAGGAGTCGCTCATGGAGTTCAAAACCCATGGCCACCGCCTGCGCCTGGTGCCCAGACTGTGCTGACTGTGGTGGGGTTCCGGGTATCCACCCTACTTTTCTATATGTACCTGTTGAGTACATTAGTTAGGCTCTTAATTTTTGCCCTTCCCTCTTAAACTAGTGTATTTCTATATGAAGTCTTCTGAAGACTGAGCCATTTTTTTTTCTTGGCTACTGATTAGCAGTTCAAACATTAGTGTTTTTTTTTGTTGCTGTTGTTTTTTTTGTTTTTAAGTCTTGCTATGTAGTTTAGGCTGGTCTTGAACTCAGGACAATCCTCCTGTCTCAGCCTGCTGAGTGCTGAGATTGATCACAGGTGTGCATCATCATGCCTGGCCAGACAGCTTCAGGGTTTCTATAGCTCCATCATCCCTTAGCCTTCTACAAATGATAAGTGGAGCTGACTTCAGTGGCCTGTTTTTTGGTTTTTTTCCCTCCCTTGCAGTGCCTAGGGTGGAACCCAGGGCCTTCTGTGTGTTAGGCAAATGCTAAGAGAGCTACTCCCAGGGCCTTTAGTTGCCTTTTGAGCGAATTATGCTGCATTAAAAAAAAAAAGAATTCAGATAAAATTTCACTCATTCCTCTTCTATAGATCTGTTTTGCCTATTTTTTCCCCACAGCAGAACCTTTCGGGTGATACTTATGATTCATTACTAAGCCGATTCCTCAAACACAAGTGTAAGGAACGATGACCGACTACATTTTAATTCTCTATAGAACAGGGGCAGGCTGTGTACTAGGTAAGTTTTTCCTACTACTTTATTTCATTTTCATGCCAAGACAAAACTTATGGCAAGAGAAGGATACTCTGCTCCCTGCTACTAAATCTGTTTATAGACATCAGCTCTATGTCAGAGCAAGTTCCCACAGGCCTTTCTTTGCTGGCTGTCATTAGTTCTATTTAGAACCAGCTAGCTGGAGTGGGTATTTTAAACGAGACCTGCTGAGTTGAAGACACGGCCCTTGCAGCCACATGGCCGGGACAGGAGCTGGGAGAAAGGGCGGCTGGGCCTCCTCCTCTGCAGTGCTGGGCTGGCTTGGCCACAGCACGTAACCCACAGCCACTTCAGACGCTACCAGGCTGACACATTATGACTGGTAGCTCTCAAGGTGGTTATTTAATTTATATTCTCCCCCGAGTAAAGAATATGACCACTGATTCATGTTAAGTACGTCTGATTTTAGATCCTGTTCTGATGTCTTCCAGCACATCAAATTCATAACTTTCAAGAACTTTGTCTTTTGTCTTGACATGAAGGTAAAATAATGTAATAGGAAAAAAAGTTAGCTTCAGCAAACCCACCAGTGTGCCACAGATAAATAAGGTGAAAGAGAGGTTAGTTTATTATAGGTGCTGGGGAGATGGAGGGGAGACGGAAGAGGAAGGAGCTGAGTGTGGCAGGTGGCGACTGTGGCCCCCACAGGCTCACAGGAGGCCATGCTGTTCTGTGGTTGCTCTCTTGCTGGTATAGGAGCAGGTACAGGAAGCAGATATTGGTCAGATCAGAAGGCAAATTTCATGTCTTTGCCTTAAGCAGACAGGATCACGTTTGAGTGGGTCACAGCACTACTATTTTTCTTTTTGTGGCACTACTGGGGACTGAACCCAGGGCCTTCAAACTGAGCTGCATCCCAGCCCTTTAAAAAAAAAAAAGGTTTTATTTTTTATTTTTTTGGTTTTTTGAGACAGGGTCTCACTATGTGAGACTGACCTGGAACTCATTATGTAGCCCAGGCTGGTCTCGAACTCACAGCTATCCTGAGTGCTGGGATTATAAACATGTGCCACTAGACCCAGAAAAAAAAAAAAACAACATTAAAAGCAACCAAATTCTATAACATTCCTATTAGCATCACATAGTGGACACCCAAATAACATTTACAGCATATTATTTTCAGTTTTATGTTTGGCTTATGATTTCTTTTACATCAATGGTAAAAAGGAAAGAAGAAAATTTCACTTTAACATCAACTAGTACCCACAGTACAATACACTTAGCACATAGTATCAAGCACATGTTGTGGAAATATTTTATTATTAGGCTAGAAGTCAAATATACACCTATTCTCCACACAATAATTAACTGAGTAAACTTAGGCAGCCTACTTTGGTTCAATGAGCATCAGGTTCCCACTGATAAAATGTATGCTTGCATTACCTTTTTGAATTTTTGTCAGTATTAAGTGTTTGGTTATATTGATTATGCATTTCTGCTATGAAACTGAGCAGCTTTTCATATATGTAAGGGCCTTTCCCTTTCTAATGATACCTTTGGTCCATTTTTCTACTGGGTAAATGGCCACTTTCCTATATATTTCCTTTTTTATCCCCTTCCTGAAACAAGGCCTCACTGTGTAATCCAAGCTAGCCTCAAAGTCACACCAATCTTCCTGCCTCAGCCTCCTGACTGTTGGGATGATGGGTGTGCACTATTAGGCTTGGCACTTTCCTATACATTTTAAGAACTCTTTTTGTTAGGGAAATCAATTATCTATCTTTAATACGAATGTCAAACTTTTCCTGTTCATTTTTATTTTACTTTATGTTTTCTTTCCCTATGCAAAACTTCTGATTGATGTAGCTAAATACGTCAATTTTTTCTTTTGTGGCCTTTACTGTTTTCCATAAATTTTTTTTTTTTTTTTTTTTTTTTTTTTTACTGGGGACTGAACTTAGGACCTTGCACTTGCAAGGCAGGTGGCAGTACCACTGAGCTAAAGCCCTGGCCCCCATAAATTCCTTTTTAGGTTTTCTTTATTGAGACAGGGTCTTGCTATGTAGTTGAGACTGACCTGGAGCTCACTATGTAGCCCAGGCTGGTCTCGAACTCAAAGCGATCCTCCTGTCTCAGCCTCCTGAGTGCTGGGATTATAGGTGTGTGCCACCACGCCCAGCTCCCCTTAAATTCTATTTATTTAATTTTTTGACTTTTCTCTTCCAAACATTTGGATCGCTGACCTGTTTGAGGTTTATCCTGGCTCATGGTCAGAGGTATGGCTCCAACATCTTTCCCTGTGGAGATGAGCAGCCCACAGTTATGCCACAGCCTGATAACCGTCTTTATCCTGCTCTGACCTTTCCTAGGTACATGGCGTTAGACTCTGTCCCGATAATCTGACACAGTGTATGAGGGGTTAATGACAGGTATCTTCCTACATACACTCTTTGAGATAGGGATGGGATCACGCAGAGTTGAAAATTAGGAAGAACTGACTTCTTGATGATGCTGAGTCTTCCCAGCTAGGACATACTTTAATATATCTGTCATCCAAATTTTGGGCATACACTGTTGGACCCTAGTTGACATTACTACTGAAACTGTCACTTTCCATGAGATCCCAAACTGACAAGATAAACTTGCAAATAAACCAACATAAAATGCAGAAAACATATTTGTCCTTTGGTAAAATACAGTCCTCCTGAAATTTCCTGGTTCTGTGTGTTTGGAGACAGAGTCTTTTTGTGTAGTTCAGGATGGCCTCAAATGATTCTGCTGTCTCAGCCTCCCCAGTGAAGGGATCACGGCTTGCTAGCGCTCTCTCTTCTTTACAATTTTGTCCTTAGGGTTAGAACTTGAGTTTTGCATTTCATTTCATTTTAACTTTGCTTTCCCCTCTGTAACTGCCCCTTTCTGATGGGTCTGTAAGTTTATGTGCAGTCCTGTCTACTGATTTGTAAATACTGTTTACTGCAGACAGTGTGAGTAGCTGTAGAAAGGAACCTATGATGTTCAAACAAGAATGTTTCAAATTTCAAGTTCAACGGGATTCTATTTTTTCATTCTTGTGTTACTGGGGATTGAACCCAGAAGGTGCTGAGCTGCACTCCCAGAACTCTTTACTATATGTTCAAATAGTGCTTCTAAGTTTCTGGGCCTGGCCTCGAAAACTCTTCTGTCTCAGCCTCCCAGACAGCTGCCTGGGATTGAAAGTATGCACTATCATGCTAAATTTGCACAGTAACTTTCTTAAAGAAATTTTCTCCCTCTTCTCAGAGTTTCTGTCTATTTCTTTTCTCATTAAAGGAAACAGTTTATTTTTTCTTATCTAAGAAAAGAGTTTCTTAATCATGTTTGCTGGGGTCACTTTTCTTTTTCCTTTTTGAGACAGAGTCTCATTATGTTGCTCAAGCTGGCCTTAGATTCACTGTGCAGCTCAGGACAGCCTGAATTCCCTATGTAGCCCAGGCTGGTCTCAAACACATGGTGATCCTCCTGCCTCAGCCTCCCCAGTGCTGGGGCTCTAGGCACGTGCCAGGCTGGGATCAATTTTCTACTGATTGCTTTTTAGACAGATGCACTGATGTTATCCTGAAATTTCTCTTTACTGTAATCTTGGTAAATTCTCTTTCTTGCTGTTATTTGATAACATATGATTTATTAATTTTCTGAGAGAGTACTATGGGGAAAACACTGTGCTTTGACGGTATTACTTCTGTCTTTTACAACCACATTTTGGAGAACTATGATGGATCCACTTCTTGCCTGCTGCTAGATCTCCAGATTTCTCCATGTACACATCTGCATCTATCCCTGCCTCTGTATCATTTAGCTCTTCCATGTTTGCTTCAATCTTTGCACCTTTTCTAAATTTTAGGAGGGTCCCTTGACTTTTTCTCCCTCATTTCACTGGTATTTTTACTCATAATAAGTGTGACTTTGATGTTAGCAATTTT